GGCACGTCCCTTCCCCTTCTGGCTGCCTGCTTTGTGCTCCCGTGCTCTCTCTGTCTCTCTCTCTCTCTCTTAACAAAAGGGGGGGGGGACCTGGAACGTTCTGATCCAGTTGAGTTTTGAGCAAAAGCAAGGAACAAAACGAAACAAGCCGCCCCCCCCCCATGCTTGCCTGTGGTCAACATTTGCCAAGAACATCTTCTGATTTCCTTTAAACTGTTTCTTCCACAGGTATAGTTTTAGTCGCCATAAATCCTTACGAACAGCTGCCTATCTATGGGGAAGACATCATCAACGCGTACAGTGGACAGAACATGGGCGATATGGACCCGCACATCTTCGCGGTGGCTGAGGAGGCTTATAAGCAAATGGCCAGGTTGGTGGGCGAGGAGCTTTCTTGTTCCTTCACAGGGCCCGGGTCTGTTCCTTCAGGGTTGGTGGGGTGTCCTTAGAGAAAGGCAGAAGGCCCCCCCATCCCGGGACGAGGCAGCCCGTAGTGGAATTGTGCCGAGAGAAAGTAAAACGAAGCCATGTTTCTCGAAAAGGTGTCCCAGTCGACACTCTCCCAGGTTTCTCTCCCACCCACCCCGGCCACCTCTCCCACCCTGTTTGCTTTTGGGCTCCAGCGGCCCTAAAGACCAGCTCTAGCTTTGTCGCAGCCCGTTGCTGTCAGGAGGGAAATGGGGTAAAATCGGGCGGTGGCGCTTCGCCTCAGGGGCCTGGCCGGGAGCTGCTCATGAAGAATTATCCGACGGTGGGGTGGCCACGGTGACCGCAGCAGAGTAGAGGAATCCCCGGAGAAGTCCTTTCATCCTGCTGCCTCACCTTTCAGCCCAGAACGCCGTCTGTCGGGATCTTGCAGGCGGCAACAGATGCTTCCCGTGGCGTTGGTGCCCTCGATCGGGACCAGCTCTTTATTCTGCCATTGACAGCTGTCAGGGTGGTCGGGGCGAGTGGGGAGGAGACGCCATGCCAGAGGAAAACTTGTGCCATTTTGGGGAACCTGGACTGGTGGGTTTTTCAAGTCACAGGTGACGCTCAAGGTGGATTCTCAGCCTCCTTTGGGTGCCAGTCTTGTTGTTGCCCAGGTGGGCCAACGCGAAGGACAGGAAGGGCCTCTCGGCTGGCTTCAGGGGGGCTGCCGTGGGATGGGAACGTGGATCTTGCACTCAGTTGGTGAAGGTAGTGACTGGCAAAGACTCTCGGAGGCCCTTTGAGAGCTGGCGTGTGTGGACTGAAGTGGCCGCCAAAGCAGAGGAAGCGGATAGAGGGCACAGCAGGTGGTTCTTATGGCACCCGTAGAGAAGCAAGATAGAGCAAGGGGTGAACCTGGCAGCTCCGAATGGGCTGGAGGAGGAGGAGGAGGAGGAGGCGGGACCAGGACAGGCAGATGCTCGCAGAGGGGAAGAAACCACAGCGCAGAGGCCAGGGCGGACGGCTTTTATCCCTGTAGCACCCAAGATGGTGAATGGAAGGTTTGATTATTCCGTTTTTATATTCCACTTTTCCTCCGTGGAGCTCAAGGTAGCCTACGTCGTCTTTCGGCTCCTCTTCCCTCTGCCTTGTTTCCTCGCAACGACCCAGCCAGGGAGCAGCGGGTGTGAGGTCAGGTCGGCCGTGGGCTTTGTGTGAGTGATGGGTTGAATCTCCTGTCTCCCTGGTAGACCCCACTGGGGACCGGCCAGGCCGATATTTGCTTTATCTGAGGTCAGGTTGGGGTTTCCTTTCTTTTGATTGTGAAACCTGATGGGAAGGATTTAAGGCCTGGAATGTCCCGAGAGAACAGGGCTTTGCATGATTCTGGGTTTCCAGGGGCTGACCGTCCCGCTTCTGCCCGTTAGTGGTCAGCGATCCCAGTCCTCCCGCATCGCTCACAGCCTGGAGATTTTTAGTCCAAAGTTGCCGTTTGGGATCCACCCGAGAGAGAGAGCGAGAGCGCACGGTGGTGCTTACAATTCTCGGTCTGGCCAGCTGGGCTGATCACCTATGGGATCTTATGCTGTTGAAAATTAATAGGTGATCCACCTACTTGCTCTGAGTTGAAGAATCACGCATTGGTTCCGGAACTGGGCCTTGTTTTTGTGAAATGCGAGAGAGGGAGGGAGGAAGGGAGGGAGGGAGAAGGTGTGAGGAGGGGGAGAGACGGGTGGGGCCTTGGAAGGCAGATGCGTCGGAAGTGTCGTCCGGGCCCCCTTCTTGGGCCCCCTTTAAACCCTTGGGGGAACAAGCGCTCCCTTGTTAGCGAATAAAGAAAAGCCAGCGCGGCTGCGGGAGTCGCCGTCGTCGTCCGTCCTCCGAGCTCGGCCCGGGAAGCAGCTCCGAGAAGGCCGCAAGCGGGCACAAGGAGCCTTTGTTCCGCCCCGGCCTTCCTTGCAGGAGGGACTCTGCCCGGGCGGCTTCTGCTTCTGAGGAGCCTCTCGGTGCCAGGGCCTTGCCTGCCGTTTGAGTGTGGCATCCGTACTTTGTTAGCCAAGGGGGATGCGGGCTGCTCTGTTGTCGGGCTTCGTAACGGCTTCAGTCCCTGCATTTCTCACAGAGTCTTTGAAAGGCACGTGTATTATTCTCCTGCCTGTGGGTGGAATCTTTAGGTGTTTTGTGTTAGGCTGTTGTGAACACAAAGCCCTGTCACTGTCGAGTTCCACGCAACAGACATTTACCTCAAGCAAAGGGCGGCTCTTGGCCTCCGAATGAAAACTTCCCAGAGGCGTTCCCTTGCTCAGGCTGTGCGTTCGAGACTCGCTCTCCCCAGCATCGGTCAGCCTGCTAGAGCCGGCCTGAAGGCACCGAGACATGACGGAAAGGGCCGGGCGCTTTCCCATTTCAGGGATGAACGGAACCAGTCGATCATTGTCAGCGGGGAATCGGGAGCCGGAAAAACCGTCTCTGCCAAGTACGCCATGAGGTATTTTGCTACCGTCAGCGGCTCTGCTAGCGAAGCGAACGTCGAAGAGAGAGTGCTGGCTTCCAATCCGATCATGGAGGTAAGACCAGGAGCCCGGTCCTTTTAAGCCTGGTGGCGGTTTGGGATTTTGGTCCTCCTTCGTATTAGGTGCCCAAATCTCCATTGGATTACATGCCAACCTTTCAGCACAAATTCTGAGTGAAGGGCTAGTTGACCACGTAAAATCGCTGGCGGATGGCGCAGACGGAGGCTTAGTCTTTAGGTCTGAATCCAAAGGCTGGTGCCACCTGCAGGAGACACGGTAAACGGTAAGAATGCAGTGGCATAAATCCCTCTACAGGCAGTTAAGGGTTCACACTTAGTAATTCCTTTTGCTTTATTTATAGATCTTAGGATTTTTTTTTTTTTTGCTTTGATGTGGCATAAAGTGCTATTGTAAGATCAAGCATACATGGTCAAATTAGGCAGACTGCAGTTTTTTCCATGTGGTGCAGCTTGTTATGCAAGGATATTTATTATTTTAAAAGTGTTTTTACCCCACTTTTCAGCCCACAGTGGCTGGCCAGTCAGTAAAACAAAGAAGGACCGGCTCTTCCTTCAACTTCGCACTCAGAAAGAGGCCACAGAAGAGGGACAAGGATATGAGGGTGGGGTGGAAAAGAAGGGCGTCTGACCAGCAAAGGCCACTCTTGGCTGGACAGCCAATATCCAAGAGACCTGCTGACAAATTAAGCCAGATTTGCTTCCTTCTGTAATCTTTTCTTCAAAATATACTTCTTTCTTATTTAAGAACTTCTTGAAACACAAACCACAGTGGAGGTGGCACCCTAAGGCAACTTTGGCACAGGTGGTTTTGAGGTGTTCGGTGAGAAGGTAATTCTGCCTGGTTTGCTGTGTTGTGTGGAATCCCACCGGAGGTCTGATGCCACGCCTAGCCATTCCACATCGCCTCGTGAAGGGGGTGCGCAAGGGGTCCTTTTTTTCCTTCCAGGAGCAGGAATTTGCAAAAGTCTCCAGGGGGGTTCCTTGCAGATCAGGACGGCTCTTGGGCAAGGCCAGGGAGAGCATTTCTGCGGTTTTGCATATGCCCTGAGCTCTCCTTGCAACCCTGCGGCCTAGACGAGGCTGTAACAGGCAACCCCATGCCTGTCTGGAGCTGCGTGTCTGTCTCAAAGGCCATGGAAGGAGCCGCCGGCTGCAGTGTGGAAGGCAGATTGGCGCCATGTTGTCGTTGGCTGTTTCCAAGCTCTCATAAAAGGCCTACAGACCCAACGGGTTTTACCTTGTGCTTCTTCAGAGCGTGCAAACAGCATGGCCATCCCGCCTCCAGCACAAGGGCTGCAGGGCTAAAGCAGCCAACACAGAAAGTTGTCTTAGTTCACCAACATATTCTGTGGGCTTGCAAGAACAACGGGTTTTACCTTGTGCTTCTTCAGAGAGTGCAAACAGCATGGCCATCCTGCCTCCAGCACAAGGGCCACAGGGCTAAAGCAGCCAGCACAGAAAGTTGTCTTAGTTCGCCAACCATTCTGGCTTAGTAAACATGGGTGGTGGGGGTTAAATACTGGCACCTACCCATCCTGGTGGTTCTTCCTTTGCTCCTCCTTTTCTACAAGTGGTTGAATAAGATAGGAATGAATCACTCTGTGTGATGCCTGGACTTGGGATTATGGTAAGGATGGCCAAATAAGAACCGGTTTGCAGCTGGTTTACGATCCCAGCTTGTTTTGATGCACTTAAACTTTGTCCTGTGTTTGGATGTCACACTAAGCTATTATCTTCTTGGTTTATTAACCTGCTTTTGTGTGCATGAGCATGCAGTTTATTCGTACTGAGGTTTAATAAGCTAGAATTACTGATTTGCTGTGGAAATCCATGTCTATTCTGCTTCTCGTGCTTTGATCTCTTCCTCCCCATCTCCAGTACAACAAGCATTGGAACAGGGCTTGTCACATAAAGAGTAATCTTAGTTTGTGGATGTATTCCAGAATATTCCTAACATGCAGTTATGGCAAGAGAAATTCAGGGTGTCATATGACTTTTGATGACAATTTGTTAATGGAAATTGAGGCTGCATCCCAGTCAGAAGAGCTTTGATGTTTCAGATGCTAGATTGATCCCTTCTTTAAAATGAATATGCTTTTAAAACAATCTCTCCAGAATACCAAGCCTTCTTTCAGTTCTTAGTTCAAGTGCGCAAGTAATAATGCCTCAGAAAGCCTCTTCTTGGAAGAGTTGATCACCCCATCCCTGTGTGAGGCACAGAGGAGCTCCACGTTTGCAGAGGCTGGCCATACATATTTTAAAGTAGAGGTTGCCTGTTTAATCCAAGGCCCCTTTCGGGCTGATTGTCAGGGGCATCCTAGACCCGGGGGGGGAAAGTCACATTGGCTTGAATCCAATTGTTCGTCCCAGTTAGTGTGGACCCATTGAATTGAATTGAATCTTGATAAACTGTCACTTCCATAAATGCCAGTGATTGAATGGCTCTTCCCTTCTTGGGATGAACAACTCAATGTAGGCCATTGAATTCAGTGGGACTTGTTTCCAGGAAAAAGTACTCTGAGCTGCAGCCTCAGAACTGGTTTGAATTCCTCTAACCAACTGATACAGCGAAGTATTGCTGCTCGAGTGGAAGTTCATACCCGACGAGTCAGACAGTACTTTAATTGAGATTCCCGTGATTTCTCGCCATCTTTTCTGGTGTTGCTGCCGCCACCACTGGGTCCTTAACGTGTTAAACCCTTTCTGCGATTTCCTCACCATCAGTCTATCGGGAACGCCAAGACCACGCGGAACGACAACAGCAGCCGCTTTGGGAAGTACATTGAAATCGGTTTCGACAAGAGGTTTCGCATCATCGGTGCCCACATGAGAACTTACCTGCTAGAAAAATCGAGAGTGGTGTTCCAGGTAAAATGGATGTGAAACCCGTTTGGGGGCTGCGTGCGTGGGAGGCCCTGTCGGGAGGCTGTCTCTGGGAGCCCGTCTAGGTTAGCCCTCACCCTGGTAGAGGAGGGGAAGGGAGCTTGGGGGGGGGCATTCCTGCATCATGGCCAAAGCCATAAGAGCCGGGAGCGTGTCAGGCCGCCTGCTGTTGTGCGAAGGCGAGCGGAGAGGAAAGGAAGGTGGCGCTCCGTTTGGCTGCACTCGGGCCGTACCTGGACAACGGGGCCCAGTTCCAGCCAGCGGAGTGGAAGAAAGACGCTGGCCCGCCAGACCGGAGGCCTCGCAGAACCAACCAGGGTGGTGGGGCCGGGGAGTAGACGGCGCTTCGTGGCCTGCTGGAGGGAAGAGGGAGGAGAGACAAGGTTGCTCCCTTCCAGTACTTCAGGGCTTGTCATGCAGAAGATGAAGCGGGTGGGGTTCCTCTTTTTCTAGAAGGCAGGCTTGGAATAAGTGCCAGAGGGGAAGAGGGAATTTAGGGGAGGCAGATAGAAACTTCCCCTTGGGAAGAGCTGTTCATCAGGACAACAGGCTGCCGTTTGCTCCCTTTTGCTGGAGGGGTTTAAACAGAATGCAAGAGCCTGTGTTCAGGGGTCAGATTTTTCTTTTTTTAAAAGAAGTACAGTAGAAGGATTTCAATGAATTCATATGTGCTTCCCCAAGACCTTTGACACACACACATCCCACCCGGAACTTCCATTTTCTGTGCTGCTTTCTTAATGCATGAAATCTTTTCCTTCCTCTCTGTGTGTCTCTCTCTTTCCTCACTCCTTGATAGATAATCTTACCTTTATTTATTTGTATTAAAGGCGGAAGAAGAGAGAAATTACCATATCTTCTACCAGCTCTGTGCTTCTGCAGCATTACCCGAATTTAGAACTTTGCGGTTAGGTATGGATCTGCATGCACCGCCTTGAGCCTCCAGCACGGCCTGTATTGAAGTAGAGTCACTTTGACAGAATTGCCTTCTTCAAAGTGTTGGCCTTTCCAAACTCTGAATCTGTGAAGGGGAATGAAGCTTCTTTCTGTGTGCATTAGAAGCCCCTCCCTTATTGCTGAATATACTGCTCAAGTTTGATTATTGTCCTCTGTGTATGTTACAAAGGGGGAAAAAAAAATCTTACGTGTCCCTTTAGGGTTTCCTGTGAAGCCTGGACCCCCACCCCCTGCAGCC